ACACAGTTTCAAGTGTAGATATGACAGAGCCCGATAGGCTCAGGAATCTGTACACCTGTTGATTGACGGTTGAGAGGCGGGACCAAAGAGCCAGAGCTCAACCCCCGCAAACACAACTAGGTGAGTACAACTACACACACCATACACACATCCCACACACACACACACAATACACATCACCACCTACACACACACACACCATCACCACCTACACACAATACCCATCACCACCTACACACACCATACCCATCACCACCTACACACACCATACCCATCACCACCTACACACACCATACCCATCACCACCTACACACACCATACCAATCACCACCTACACACACCATACTCATCACCACCTACACACACCATACACATCACCACCTACACACACCATACCCATCACCACCTACACACACCATACCCATCACCACCTACACACACAATACCCATCACCACCTAATACACACCAACCATACCCTCCCATACCCTCCTGTCAACCATACATCACACACCTACACCATACCCATCACCACCTACACACACCATACCATACCCATCACCACCTACACACACACACCATACCCATCACCACCTACACACACCATACCCATCACCACCTACACACACCATACCCATCACTACCTACACACACAATACCCATCACCACCTACACACACCATACCCATCACCACCTACACACACCATACCATCACCACCTACACACACAAAGACACTATCACTACTCTACACACACCATACCCATCACCACCTACACACACCATACCATCACTACCTACACACACCATACCATCACCACCTACACACACACATACTATCACTACCTACACACACCATACCCATCACCACCTACACACACACCATACTATCACTACCTACACACACCATACCCATCACCACCTATACACACACCCTCCCGGATCTGCACGGTACCCTCCCATATCCACCTGTCAATGTAAGCATTTTCACACACCATACCCATCACTACCTACACACAACCATACCATCAATAATGTCTACTACCTACACACACACCATACCTATCAACTACTCTCTACACACACCATACCCAACACCACCTACACACCTACCATACCCATCACCACCTCTACACACACTCTCTCTCTCTCTCTCTCTCTCTCTCTCTCTCTCTCTCTCTCTCTCTGTCTCTCTCTCTCTCTCTCTCTCTCTCTCTCTCTCTCTCTCTCTCTCTCTCTCTCTCTCTCTCTCTCTCTCTCTCTCTCTCTCTCTCTCTCTCTCTCTCTCTCTCTCTCTCTCTCTCTCTCTCTCTCTCTCTCTCTCTCTCTCTCTCTCTCTCTCTCTCTCTCTCTCTCTCTCTCTCTCTCTCTCTCTCTCTCTCTCTCTCTCTCTCTCTCTCTCTCTCTCTCTCTCTCTCTCTCTCTCTCTCTCTCTCTCTCTCTCTCTCTCTCTCTCTCTCTCTCTCTCTCTCTCTCTCTCTCTCTCTCTCTCTCTCTCTCTCTCTCTCTCTCTCTCTCTCTCTCTCTCTCTCTCTCTCTCTCTCTCTCTCTCTCTCTCTCTCTCTCTCTCTCTCTCTCTCTCTCTCTCTCTCTCTCTCTCTCTCTCTCTCTCTCTCTCTCTCTCTCTCTCTCTCTCTCTCTCTCTCTCTCTCTCTCTCTCTCTCTCTCTCTCTCTCTCTCTCTCTCTCTCTCTCTCTCTCTCTCTCTCTCTCTCTGTCTCTCTCTCTTCTCTCTCTCTCTCTCTCTCTCTCTCTCTCTCTCTCTCTCTCTCTCTCTCTCTCTCTCTCTCTCTCTCTCTCTCTCTCTCTCTCTCTCTCTCTCTCTCTCTCTCTCTCTCTCTCTCTGTCTCTCTCTCTCTGTCTCTCTCTCTCTGTCTCTCTCTCTCTGTCTCTGTCTCTCTCTCTCTCTCTCTCTGTCTCTCTCTCTCTCTTTGCCCTCGTCGACCCGGTTTCTCTCCCTCTCTATGTACGTCTCTCCGTCTCTGTACGTTTGTCTGTCTCTATACGTCTCTGTCTCTATCTGTTTGTCTCTCTCTAGTCTCTCTGTCTCTATACCCGGTTTCTCTCCCTCTCTATGTACGTCTCTCCGTCTCTGTACGTTTGTCTGTCTCTATACGTCTCTCTGTCTCTATACGTTTCCCGGTCTCTATATGTCTCTCTGTCTCTATATGTCTCTCTGTCTCTATATGTCTCTCTGTCTCTATACGTCTCCTTGTCTCTATACGTCTCTAATACGTCTCTCTGTCTCTATACGTCTCTTTCTCTCTCCCTCTCTCTTTCTGTCCATTTTTAGACTAAATCAGTGGATGAACAATTAAATCAGTGGATGAGCAATTAATATATTTTCATATATAGCTAAATAAAGTGTAGTTACTTACATATTTATCTTTCAAGGGGGAGTAACCAGCTGTGTTCGGGACACTTTCTCCTCTTCCCCTCTCCTCCCTTTATTCCAATCTCCCCTCTCTCATATCTATTTCATTATTCCCTCCTTCTTCCGATCTTCCACCTTTCGACCTTTCTTACTTATCACCCCTCTTCTCTCCTTCTTCCTTCTTCCTTCTCACTCCTCTTCTCTCCTTCCTTCTCACTCCTCTTCTCTCCTTCTTTCTCACTCCTCTTCTCTCCTTCTTCTGTCTCACCACTCTTCCCTCATTGCCACCTCTCCTTCTCTATTTCCCACTCTCCTGCATCTCTCACCCTCTCCATGTTTCCCCCCCCCCACCTCCCCTCATACTTCCTGCCCCTTTCCACATTCTCTCCCCATCTCCCCACCTCTCTCCTCTCTCTCTCTCTCCCCTTTCCTCTCGTCACTCATGTCGGAAAACCTAACACCATTTACTACCATTTAATACAATAGGCAGATAATATTACTGCTGGGTTGTATAAATAAATTCACTTATAGAAAATTTAGCCTAGAGGAACTTTCCGTCAATAGAAAACGGGGAATATCATTGCTACGTTGCTATTAAATTCAGCAGCTAATTCTGTTGGTAGCTTCTTAATATAGCAGTCATTGGACTGTACACATCATAAAAACATTTCCCTTGAATCAACTTAATTATTAGCACCAAAATAGAGTAAATGTGGGCCCTCTACCAGTTCTTAACATCTGAACAAGAGCGCCAGAGCGTCAGTGGAGGAGGGCAGGAGGCAGCCATTGTTAAATTTAACAGCAAGTCGAAGGAGCAAATTTAGTTAGAATAATTCTCCCTCGGACAGCTGAGTTACAGAAGTAAAGTGCTTCCGTTATCAACACGCTACTACGTTTACTATCCTGGAAGATGTCTTTCCGATTCCAATACTATCTAGCTTATTAGAGGCCATTAATATTTAGATTTACGATATATTCCAGCTAGAACACGAGACAGCGACATAACCAAGGTAAATATTCCTTGGTCCTTATCACATAATCAATATACCAATATTTCCTCTGATATAGCTGTCATATATATATAGGATTACTGCTATAATTTGTGAGTTCCTTTTGACAGGTGTACCAGAAGAGGAACAAGAATTAACACTAGTAACCTAGTACTCCAGTATATAAGTTGGAGGCCAGCTACACCCAAAGTGTATCGACTGGCTTATTCTTCCGTATTAATACTGGTTGTCTAGGATATAACCACAATAAGATAAGCTGTAGTTAATTTTAGTTACCTATGTAGTCTAATAATGTAGTAAATGTTTACTAACCAGTAATTTTTATGGTTGACTACAATTGAACCACAAAACCCCCATAATGTGTAAAGGAGTCGATTTGTGGGAATATTAAAAAATACAGTCTGCTTTAACCATCATAAAATTTGCTATCGAAATATATAAATTAACATATAATATAAATTCTACATAAATTCATATATGTATTAAATAAATATAAATCTATCAGGTCAGTTCCCCACAAATCATCCTTCTGGCTGCCTCTATTTTTCTGATTGTCTTCCTGTCTCTCTCTCTCTCTCTTTGCCCTCGTCGACCCGGTTCCTCTCCCTCTCTATGTGCGTCTCTCCGTCTCTGTACGTTTGTCTGTCTCTATACGTCTCTGTCTCTATACGTTTGTCTGGCTCTATACGTCTCTGTCTCTATACGTTTGTCTGGCTCTATACGTCTCTGTCTCTATACGTCTCTGTCTCTATACGTTTGTCTGGCTCTATACGTCTCTGTCTCTATACGTTTGTCTGGCTCTATACGTCTCTGTCTCTATACGTCTCTGTCTCTATACGTCTCTGTCTCTATACGTCACTGTCTCTATACGTCTCTACGTCTCTCTGTCTCTATACGTCTCTCTGTCTCTATATGTCTCTTTGTCTCTATATGTCTCTCTGTCTCTATACGTCTCCCTGTCTCTATACGTCTCTCTGTCTCTATACGTCTCTCTGTCTCTATACGTCTCTCTGTCTCTATACGTCTCTCTGTCTCTATACGTCTCTCTGTCTCTATACGTCTCTCTGTCTCTATACGTCTCTCTGTCTCTATACGTCTCTCTGTCTCTATACGTCTCTCTGTCTCTATACGTCTCTCTGTCTCTATACGTCTCTCTGTCTCTATACGTCTCTCTGTCTCTATACGTCTCTCTGTCTCTATACGTCTCTCTGTCTCTATACGTCTCACGTCTCTATGTCTCTGTCTTTCTCAATGTCTCTGTACGTCTCATCATTCGGTGTGTCTATCATGGTCTGTCTTTATCAATTTCTCCTTTTGCATATATCATTCGGTGTGTCTATCATGGTCTGACTTTCACACACACATTCACACACACATTCACACACACATTCACACACACATTCACACACACATTCACACACACATTCACACACACATTCACACACACATTCATACACACATTCACACACACATTCACACACACATTTATACACACATTCACACACACATTCATACACACATTCATACACACAGCACTCCTTCTTACTCCCTGAGAAGTAAGGCAAACGAAGCAGGAAGGCGGAAGGAGAGTGAAGGTCAGAAGTGAACTAGCACAGTTTACCTTGTGGACAGCTCACTGACATTCCTCTTGCACTTCTCGTGTTCCTCTTCCATCAAGCTACTTTTTTCTGCCATTTTGTTCTTCTCCTCTTGAGTATTTCTGAGCTGCTGTGCCTGTCTGTCTTTTTCGCTCTGTAGAGCCTTGTTTCCAACCCGTAACTTACTGGCCTCTTCTTCAATGACGGAGAGTTGCTCTTCAATAAGTCTTTTCTCCACTTCAGTCTTTCTGATTGTTTCTTCTTTTTCTTCCTTCAGAACAACGTTTGCTGTTTGAAGGACCCTGACCTGTTCCTCCAGGAGTGAGAGTTGCTCTTCAACAAGTCTTTTCTCTCCTACTGTGTTATTATTTAACTCTTGCAGCTGTTGTGTCTCTCGCTCTAGCTCACTGACCCTCGTCAACGCCGTCTTGACCCTCTCCTGGGCTCGGGTCTCCGCAAGCTCCAGTTCTCGGTTCCTCGTCTTGACCAGCTTTGAGTCCTCCTCCACTTGATGAATGTCAGCCATTAGACGACGATTTGTCTCCTCTGCTATGCGAACATCGTTCTTAGTCTTCCTGTTTTCTTCCTTGAGCAGCCTCGAGTCCTCCTCCGCTTGACGGATCTCCTCCTTGACCAGTCTCGAGTCCTCCTCTACTTGACGGATCTGGGACTTTAATAGCACAATCTCCTCCTGAGCAAGGCGCACTTCGTTCTTAGTCTTCATGTTATCTTCCTTGACCAGCCTCGAATCCTCCTCCGCTTGACGGATCTCTTCCTTGACCAGCCTCGAGTCCTCCTCTACTTGACGGATCTGGGACTTTAATAGCACAATCTCCTCCTGAGCAAGGCGCACTTCGTTCTTAGTCTTCATGTTATCTTCCTTGACCAGCCTCGAATCCTCCTCCGCTTGGCGGATCTCTTCCTTGACCAGCCTCGAGTCCTCCTCTACTTGACGGATCTGGGACTTTAATAGCACAATCTCCTCCTGAGCAAGGCGCACTTCGTTCTTAGTCTTCATGTTATCTTCCTTGACCAGCCTCGAATCCTCCTCCGCTTGACGGATCTCTTCCTTGACCAGCCTCGAGTCCTCCTCCATTTGACGGATCTGGGACTTTAATTGAATATTTTCCTCCTGAACAAGGCGCACTTCGTTCTTAGTCTTCATGTTATCTTCCTTGACCAGCCTCGAATCCTCCTCCGCTTGACGGATCTCTTCCTTGACCAGCCTCGAGTCCTCCTCTACTTGACGGATCTGGGACTTTAATTGAATATTTTCCTCCTGAGCAAGGCGCACTTCGTTCTTAGTCTTCATGTTATCGTCCTTGACCAGCCTCGAGTCCTCCTCCACTTGACGGATCTGGGACTTTAATAGCAAAATTTCCTCCTGAGCAAGACGCACTTCGTTCTTAGTCTTCCTGTTGTCCTCCTCGAGCAAATGATTAGCTGTATATAGGCGAGTGTTTTCCTCCTTCAGCTTGAGGTTGTCAGCTTGGTGAGCCATGTTGAGGCACTCCAGCTGGTCCAGAGTGTCCAGGAGGCGGCGGGTGGCGTTCTCCCTCTCCTTCACACCTGCCAACACATCAAATATTTAGCTATATTTTTGGTAAATATAAATTCAAAGTTTTTTATATATTAGATTTAAATATTGAAAGATATAGCATCATCCGTGATATTGTTTCTAGGATTACAGCTGAATGTCCAGCAACTCCTTAAACACTTCCTACCCCCCCATCCCAAATCCTCATCCTGAATCCTTCCCAGTACTATATAGTCGTATTGGCTTGGCACTTTCCCCCCTGATAATTACCTTCCCTTCCCTTCCTTAAACACTTCTGCTTGTATGTAACAGGAAACATATTATTATGTTAACCTCTTCATAAAGCACATTCCTGACCAAACTGTGCACTACAGGCCTTGAAGTGCGCTCCAGGACCTGAATTACTCTTCAGACCTTGATGTACACTTCAGGCAATAAAGTACACTCCACATCCTGACGTACACTTCAGGCATGGAAGTACACTCTACTCCGGACCCTGAAATACACTCCAGACCATGATGTACACTTCAAGACGTAAAGGGCACTTCACACCCTGCAGTACACTCCAGGCCTGAAGTACACTCCAAGCCCTGAAGTACACTCCAGGCCCTGAAGTACACTCCAGGCCCTGAAGTACACTCCAGGCCCTGAACTACACTCCAGGCCCTGAACTACACTACAGGCCCTGAAGTGCACTCCAGGCCCTGAAGTACACTCCAAGCCCTGAAATACACTCCAGGCCCTGAAGTACACTCCTGTCCCTGAAGTACACTCCAGGCCCTGAAGTACACTCCTGGCCCTGAAGTACACTCCAAGCCCTGAAGTACACTCCAGGCCCTGAAGTACACTCCAGGCCCAGAATTACTCTCAAAGTCCGGCAGACAATTAAGGCCTTGACGTATACTCAAAGTCCTAAAGTTACTGTAGTACCCAAAGTACACTCCAGACCCTGAAAACACTCCAGAAACTGAAGTACACTCCTGACCCTGAAAACACTCCAGAAACTGAAGTACACTCCTGACCCTGAAGTACACTTTCAGACCTTTAAAAACGCTAAAGACCCAGAAGTTCACTTCAGGCCATAAAGTACACTCCAGGACTTAAATTACTCTACACCCTGAAATATACTCCAGGTTCTGAAGTGCACTCCAGACCCTGAAGTACACCTCAGACATTGAAGTACACTCCAGACCCTAAAGTACACTGAAAGTCCTGAGTACACTGAATGCCTGAGCCGGCCAATACATGGTTGATGATGGTAGTAATATTTTAATATTTGGAAACTTTAAACTAAATGACCACGCATGTAGCGATTTTGCGTTCAGTAAACACTTACTGAGTTGTAAATTGAATGCCTGAGTCGGCCAATACAAGGTTTGTGATAGTAATATTTTATTTTACGATGAAGAAACTTTAAACTAAAAAATGAGGTCACATGGAGGGATATCTATGTTCAGTAAACAGTTACTGAGTTGTAAACTGAATGGTTGAGCCACCCAATACATGGTTGATGAAAATAGTATTTTACGATGGAAAAACCTCATCCTAAACTAAAAATGAGCTCACATGAAGTGATTTTCACTTACTGAGTTGTTAACTGAATGGCTGAGCTATCCAATACATAGTTGGTGATAGTAGTATTAATTTATGATGGAAAACTTTAAACTAAACTAAAATGAGCACACATGAAGTGATTCCCACATTCAATAAACACTTACTAAGTTGTTAACTGAATGTCTGAGACATCCAATACATGGTTGATGATAGTAGTATTAATGACATTGATAATACGAGGTCTTGAACTAGATACTGACAGGGGAACAAAAACAAGCTGTGATATTGAAAAGAAACTGAACTGAATTTGAAAGTTGATTAATATATGTAATGTGAAGCCAATATACTGGAAAACAGTAAGCAAACTTTATTTGAAAAGAATATGAGAAGACTGAAAAGCAGAGCGCGGGGAAATGGGTAAAAATAAGAAGTAATGATCGTCATAAACATAACATAACATATCCACGACCGTAATTAATACACTGTGAACTCTCTTAAAACTATGCTCACCGTGAAATCTCGTCACTAAGCATAACTTGTCACTCTGCGAAACAAATTATTGACTATAAGTGCGACAGTGAGAATAAAAATGACCACTTATGTTTTGGAGTGCTATTTTAGTCAAGAAATACTGTAAAGGATGATTATTGACTAAAGAGAGAAAGAGGAGGAGGAGGAGGCTATGTATGTAGTGATCACGTCTCCCCAAACTCCTCTGTCTTCGGGAGGTTGGTGTGGTGCATATTTCACAATACCTTTTCTTTCCTCCTAAGTCAGCCTCTTATTTCGTGGACTGCTGGTGTTTGATGTGTTGAAACTGCTTAAAGGAACCTTATTTGCTAGAAAAAAAAAATTCCTGTGAAATAATGCGTGTTATATGTTTTGACTATCTAGCTAATAGCGCATTGCCTGGCTAATAATGAAATGTCACATTTTGTCTGACTCACTTAGCACAAGTGAAGAGAAAATATTGAAAAACTTGCAAAGGTTAAAATTCTGTGAAATCATATTTGTTATGTTAAGTTTTGACTAGCTGATTAATAGCATACTGCTACATTATTGTCTTTTTATGTTATGTTTACCTCGATAGAGTTGTAATGCTTGGAAATTGTATGTGCGGATCCCGTTTCCCTCTTACTGCTCATAAATAATGGATGCTGTAAAGTATTTTTTATGGAACATGACTCTTCTTATTCTTACCCCTTTTTAAAACTAGATGTAATAACCAAGCTATGTTTGCCTCCTCTCTCTCTCTCTCTCTCTCTCTCTCTCTCTCTCTCTCTCTCTCTCTCTCTCTCTCTCTCTCTCTCTCTCTCTCTCTCTCTCTCTCTCTCTCTCTCTCTCTCTCTCTCTCTCTCTCTCTCTCTCTCTCTCTCTCTCTCTCTCTCTCTCTCTCTCTCTCAATATGGATGTGGGTTATTTGTGTGGGCTCGGGAGATATGATCACCACATATAAGTTTCTCAAAGAAAATGATGCAGAAGTGAGGTTTGTCTTTGATGGCTGTGCACGTGACAATGTAAAATTAAAATGTGCAAAGATGTTTTAGGGTGCTATTTAGTCGAGAAATGAAAAAAAATTGTTTTTATTGACTAGTGAGACCCCGTAGCATGTATGGTGTGGGATATTGTGTTCCTTAACCTAGTCAAGAAAAAGACAGACAACAACAATAGCTACTCCGCTCGAAAGCTCGCTCCCGCAGTCATGTGGTAGCGAGCCTCGCGCCTATTTGATTTGATAGAAAGAAAAAATGAAGACTAGTAGTCCTGTTTTTAAGATGAAAAACTTTTAACTATAAAAAAGTTTGACTGAGTGACTGACTGACTGCTTTTCTGGTCAAGTCTGCAGGTCTGCAAGAAATAATAGTAATGAAGGTAGCGAACATGTCTCCTCAGCTCTTCTATCTTCCGCAAAGCCTTTCCTCCTATCTCAACCCTATTAGTTCATGCACTCGTATTTCACTTTTTGTTAAAACTAAATCTACACACGCGATATGAAATGTGAAAAAAAATCTTACATTATGCTGTTATCAGTGCTTGAATAAAATTATTAAGAGTGCTGAACATTCTGTGTCATTGTCTTGCTACGATATTAAAAGTCTATGTTTTTCGCTGGGGCTACTGTTGCACACAGTCATCTCGCTAAGGCGGGTCGGTGTCAGAATTGTCAAAATGATGTACCTTGCATACATCAGATCTTTAGTGGATTATGCTGCACCTCTGCTTGTTTTGATCCCTGAAAGGACTTTGATGATACGAATAGTAATTGCTGACATTGAGCATATTTTCAAAACATAGTTTCTGCAAAAAACAAAATAACAGGGAATTAGATGCGAGCTGTGATTTGAAAACAGAAGCTGGGTGATGTGTGGGTTATTATGTGGACTCTGGAGATATGATCACCACATATAAGTTTCTCAAAGAAAATGATAAGCTAGGTAAGGACCGATTATTTAACACACACACACACAAGACATCCGTGCAGTAGTGAGATTCCCTTTGACAGCTGTGCACGTGTCAATGAAAAATTAAAAGTGCAAAGATGTTTTGGAGTGCTATTTTAGTCAAGAAATGACACAAAATTGTGTTTATTGACTAGTGTGAGGTAGAACAAGAGATCAGGAGGTATATGTTGTGATCACGCAGTTAACAAAAATATTAGAATTTGTAGGTGATGAACGCGTCTCCCCAAACTCTTCTGTGCATATTTCACAAAGTCTTTCTTCCGAACTCTCCCTCTTAGTTCATGGACTGTTGGCCCACCTTTGTTTAAAATTAAATCTACAAAGCTTCACATTTTTCAAAAAACGTTATTTGGTCATCAGACAGAAAGATGATTTCCACGTTACGTTACATTACGTAACGATATAATGTTATTTGGACATCCGACAGAAAGTTGATGTCCACGTTACATTATGTTACTAAGTGTATGGGGTAAGCAGGAGCAGGTATAGTGTGGGATAATGTGGTCATTAACCCAGTCGCGTGATGGACAGACATCGAGAGGTGCACCGCTATAATGCTTGCTCCCTCAGTCATGTGGTATATTTTGGACTGCAGAAGGATGATTTCCATGTTACGTTACAATGTGTTACAGGGGCTAAAACTGTCACACAGTAATGTTTATATTTGATAAGAGATGTAATGGAGATGGACTAAGTCATACTTTTCATTTCATAATGTTATTTTGAACTGCAGAAAGTTGATTTCTACGTTACGTTACAATGTGTTACAGAGGGCTAAAACTGGCACACGGTCACCAGTCTCTGTTTTTTTTTCTGCTGTTTCACTTATTCAGTATAAGAGCCTTGTACATTTTGTGACATTGTCTTGCTATGATAATGACGTTGTGTGTTACAAGGTCTGCATGTTTGACTTACTGAGTTACTGAGGGATGATTTTAAAATATAATAATAATAATAATAATAATAATAATAATAATAATAATAATAATAATAATAATAATATCAAGACTAAGATT